ACGGACCTTTTCAATTTGGGAGTGGAACAGTGGCGCTTATGGCACATCTAGCGTCTTTTTTAAGATACTATATCTATGAGTCTTGCCTTCTGTCTCTGGTTTTTGTGTGTGACCTTGAGACGCCACGTCCAAAAAGTCGAAGTATCATATTGGACTTTTTTTCATAGCACTGCTGGGGAATTTTTCACAGGACACACTTTTAAGGTGGAGGGTTGTTATTGCACTATTGCACAGCTCTTTAAATACACAATGAGTGGCGTACAACAACACTTGAACGCCACACCCGAAATTCAAACAGGAAACTTCTCTTGAAAGTTCCAAGAACTAAGTAAATTGGAGAAGTTGCGCTGGTGACACCAAGTATTCATGAATCTTCCGTAGCTCGCTTGTTCGCCTGCGGCATTTGGTAGAACATATTCAGAGGCGCCGTTTATCCATAGTTCACTAGTTCGACATTACTGTTCCGAGGAGTATGATGACACCGTTTGTCTATAGGTCAGTAATTCGACGTCTGACTCGAAGGTCCATGTTCAGATCACTATGCACTTTTGAGGAGATTGAGGATTTTTGGTCATCGTGCCGCCTGTAGCTCTAAGATGTGGGCGGTGTTGATGGAGTGCGGGTGCCTTCTTCATAAGATGCGGAAACGTATTTCGCCCAACAATACATTTACAGTCGTTTGTACAGTTCACCGATTCGTTTTCTGACCTGTCGAATTGATTGTATTCACTTCCCTCCAGGGTTTCCTGTCTAGGAATATGGGTACTACATGCAAGTGTATGGCAATGAAACCTAATGGTACAAATTCATATTACAAAACAATATATTCTTCAATGAAAACAAACCAAGAGTTAAATTCTGTTACAGTGAATTATAAAGTAAAAGCGAACCTCATATTCATAAGTGGCCTTGGATTGAACTACTACGGCCTCACTAATGGACATTCATTAAAAATGGTCCTTTTTAAACTCCAATTCTGCACTCTTTTCTTTCATAATTGTACTATTTGCCACGGCAACCAGCTGGTGCAGGTTTCAATCTCTGCATAGCTTTAAACATATTCACTTTTCAAAATAATTATTTCATGAGCTCATGGTTATTTACAATTAACATTATTGAGTAACATTCTCAAACTAATGTCGACAATCAAATCATGCTCCAAAATAAGTATTGATATAAACTGTTATCAGAAGCACAATTAAAAATTCCCTCTTTCCTTCAGAGTTTCTCAATTTAATATTTATTTCTCTTTAGATTACTTCTTCAAATATTCTAAAAAAATTATTTCTCTAGTTCACATTTCAATTTGGATATTAGTAAATCGATCATACAGTTTTATCGTTCCTGCCTTCTCACACACGGGTACTCACGCTTCTGCAACATGGAAGGGAGCGAATGAACTCTGCAGTATCTGCTCGCTGGGTGCAAATATCGCAGAATCCCGGTGCTGGGAACCGGTCATCCTCCCCGGCGACCTCGCTCCACGGTCAGGCGTGTCCTGGCTGGCGCTGCCGCTGCTTCGACTCGCTGGCTGTCGACGCCGCTCCAGAGCCGTCCACGTCCTCGGATTCGGTCCTTCCTCCATGCGATGCGCGTCCGCTGGATCCAACCCTGTGCTCGCCACTTCTCTCAATTGCAAACGTTCGTTCCCCGTTTCCTCCGACTCCCGCCGTCTTCAACGCGGGTCAATCGGAAACTGCGTGTTCTAGAATTTTCGTCGCAGCCGTTCTAGGAGAATAGGTTCAAAGTCATCGACAATGGCGGCTTTTAGCCCTTCCGGCGATGTCGTCACCCTCCCACCACATTAAACTTGCGCGCAACAACATTACAGATTATTATAGGTTACTGATAATGGAACGGGGCATAAATCCGAGCCCTTCACATTATATATACTGTCGGAAAAAAGAATTATAACACCGAGGAGGATACGAGCAATCAAGTAGGCGATAAGGTACGTGAGATTGGGTCGTAGAAGCCGCGATTAACATTTCAAGGATAACTGAGGTCCAAGGCAATGGCAATGTGACTAAATGACCCGGTCGCGCCATCTACTCCTCGGCTTTAAAAGGCGATGTCCACTGTGATAAAGTCTAGTCGGGACTAAAGTAGCCACGGCGTCGTACTCGTTCGTCCTTTAAGCAAATGGGCCGGTTTGAGCGGGTCGGATTGTCGGCCTGCGCGAAACCGGGTGGTTCTTTCGGCGCGTTTTTGCCCACGTAAGTCGTAATGCGATGTCGGTGCCGCGGTGCTGGCGACGATGGGTAGACGAGTATTCCCTAAGCCGTAGACCAACTTCGGGGAGACCGCGGAGCAATGACGAACGTCAAGATCGACGCGTCGTGATGGCGGCGTTCGCTGACCGTACGGTCACCCGCGCCGAGATACAGGCACCCAATGTGTCTCCTCGCACCTTGGGAACCGGTTATTTGCCGCAGGGTTACAATCACACATAGCGCTAGCCAAACTGCCACTCACGCCGAACCATCGTCGGGCACGTTTGGCGTGGTGCAATGAGCGGGTCAGCTGGGAGACGGAATGGCGTACACTGGTGTTCAGTGATGAGAGCCGCTTTTGCCTTCTCGCCAGTATTGGTCGTGTGGATGTGCATCGTCGAACAGGTGAGCGTATGCGACCACGTCACGTAGGGCCCAGCTCGGGAGTGATGTGCTGTGGACTACCATAAGCTACAACGCGCGTTCGTCCTTGGTGTTCGTTCATTGACCAGCGCTGGATACATCCAGCACGTTGTGCGGTCTGTGCTGATACCTTTCTTACAACGGGAGGATGGTGCGCTGTTCTAACAGAGGCGATCTTCGCGATGTTCGTCAACTGCCCTGGCCTGCACGCTGGCTGGATTTGTCCCCGATGTGTGGGACATAATGGGCCAACGCCTGACCCGTGCTGCGACTCCAACAACTCAGCTTGCTCTTCGTGAGGCTGTGCAGGTGTTGTGAAACATTGTACCGCAGGACACTATTCGCCACCTGTATGATGGGATGCCAGCCCGCATCAGGGCTTGTCGTGCACGCAGTCGTCGTAAACGCAGTATTGATGTGGCGTTTCCGGTCCATGGTTCTCTCTGCTGCTGAACGTGCGAGTTTCACATGGTTCTGCCCATTTAATCATGTGTA